ACGTACGTTGTTCTAGGCTATTCGTATGATTCAGTATATTATCAATGCCTTCTATGCCACCAAGTGAGGTCGAATAAACGGAGTAGTGACAAACTCGCCTATATTTTCAAAATTTTTAAATTTATTCGAAATGCTTAAAGAGTTTAGCGCGATGACGTTTCAACTCCTACGCGAAGATCCTGACAGTCATTTCAAAATCATTACTATTGTGCTTGTGTGCCCCATGCCAACTTGGAGTAGTACATTGTCGAATTTTCAATTATTCTCTATTGGTCTCGCCAATCTATTCGACCTCGAATGTCATCATATACAACGAATATCAAACGCTACTAAAATCTGTAATTCCACATGAGATAAAGCTATACGTATATTCGCTTAAAAAATGCTGTCTTTCGTCATTTTATTTGGTCAATTCGAAAGCAGTGGCGAACTCAGACAGTGAAGTCTGAGTCACGCTGACCAGGCTCAAAAACAACCTTATCAGTCAAGATAGGAACCATTCGAGAAATGAGTTTGTTTCACAAACATTGGCGTCTCGGGATTTGAGAAACTCTCAAAAGTTTTTTCGGCACCTGTCCATTATGAAGGCGACAATTGAAGAACCGATCTCATTCGCTGGACAATAACTTTTCTTAGGAGTATAACATAAACATTTTAAAGCTTAGATTTCTGGCTAGAACTCCTTCAGTTTCAGACGCGCGTACTTCTCGCCGGATACAGCTCTTTCTTTGGTCTATTAGTAATCATTCGATAACGCAATGGTTGCTGATGCCAGTGCTGTGCTTACATCCTTAAAAGACCGTCACTCTGCAACGCAACAGGGAAAAAAGTCGGACTCGCATACGTGAGCAAAGGATTCTTCAGTCAATTCACGTATCGGTGGGTGAGGCGGCTGCGTGAATGCTAGCGCGATTTTTTTTTGTAGACGTTCATATACTCGAAAATCGATGATGATCGCGTCAGCGCATGTGCCGCCTTAGCCAACGACACGTGAATTGGCCAAAGACTCCTTGCTCCCGTATGTAAATTAAACTTATTTTTCCTGCTGCATTGCAGAGAAACGGTCTTTGGAGAAAATAAGCACAGCTTTGGAATCAACAAACGTCACATTATAGAACGGTTACTAATAGTCCAAAGAAGGAGCTCTGTCCGTCGAGAAATATGGGCGTCTGAAACGAAGTTTTGTATGAATTTTACAGCGTCATAAAAGGATCTTTTTAAAAACAGCTGTGTAGGACCTAGCCAGAAATTTGAGCTTTCGAATGACTACTAACACTCTCAGAAAAAATCCTGTGCAGCGAAAGAGTCCGATTATTCATCTGTCGCCTCATAATGGAAACCGTGTTTTCTTCATTCTGATGGTTATGGAGGCGATTACGCGGAAATAGTCACGATACGCTTGAAGAACTGATAGTCGTTAAGCGTAAGACTGGCGAATTTGGAGGATGAAGGATAAGTTTATAACCTAAATTGTTAAGTTTGTAAACGGCAAGTGACCGCGTATTGTAATGGAAAAGGATTGCGCCCTTATTGCTCAACCGTTGCCGGCTGCAGGCGTAGCAGTTTAGGTGCATTTCATCAAATTGTTGAACTTGCTTATTGTAATGGTTTTTCTGGGATTCGACTGCTGTAGTATATGAAACCGACAGGAGCCCTACGCAGCGACGATGACCATTTTTTACTGCAATTTTCGTTCTGTAAAGTGCTTCGAAGCTTCTTCTTGGCCCAACCACTGAGATGATCATGGCCAATTCTCGTTCAATATCCATTTTTCGCCCACGTCACTATCCGGTCGAGAAATGGTTTGCGGTTGTTGAGCGGATTAAAAGAAGACGATACTTCAAAACGATGATTTTCTAGATTTTCGGTGAGTTCATAAGGCATCCTTTTATCGACCTTTTTTGCTTTTCCATTTATTTCAAATGACGAACAACCGTATACTGGTTGGTTTTGAGTTCTCCCACAGCATCTCCTGTAGTTTTAGAGGCTCAGCTTTAATGATTGTACCAATAATTGTTGTCAACTTCTTATGGCCGTCCAATACGTTCCTCATTTTCGAGGCTCCTGTATTCTTTACGAAACTTCTTGAACACCACTGCATTGCGCGCTCGTTAGCAGTTTCTGGGCCAAATGCGCTGTTGATGCTATAAGTTGTCTCTGCTGCTTTACGGCCCATTTTGATCTCGCGGTACATAACCGCAATTCATCTTGCACCAACTAACACTTCTTTCCATAGAATAAGAAATAAACACCAAGCAACAGGCTATTATCGTCATTCGCTATCGTCATCACCAACATGAATACTGAAAATTGGCGTCTTGTAGCATGTGAGGCACATACGATCACAGGCTTTCCACGAGGTGTGTATGATCAAATGCCTATTGACAGTACGGCATCACACCACGCCAGCGAACAGGCACCGTGGCCAACTCGTTGTGATTCTAGTCGCGGCGCGCGTGGGGAGCCGAGTTCCATCACCGATATCTATCCGGCAGTGAACAACAACGCCCTATGGAACACCATAGCCAGGCTATCCACAAGATTGCAAGAAGTCTTGCTCAACCAGTATTCTACGCCGTTTGAGAAGAAGACGAAAAACGAATTAAATGTTGGAACTAGTAGGATCCGCATAGAGAAGAAAAACTGTTATAGCGGGTAAAATAAAGTGGCTAATTAGATCATTAACAACAAGACATAGAACAAGGATTGCGCATTGAAGTGATTAATAGGGTAACCACATTTATTTCAAAATTTATTCCAGTATCTAATGGCAATTTTCAAGTGACGCAAACCGCCATTATTTTTGCACCAAGTTGTTCTTTCTCAGAAATTGAGAGCTTTGAGCTGTTTATTGCCCAACAAGAGAGGAAAATTTGGAAGACCGATTAGACAACCGGACCCTCGTCATTTGCTACGGGAAATTGCGTCACGAAATGTCGGTGACGTTAGCTTTCAGTGTCAGTTATTACTAAACTACTATGTATGTTCCTATCACCTCTAACATACAGCGTGTATCTATCAGATGAATACGTGTGGAGAGCATTAATTCGATTGTAAGTCATCTATCGCTGCTCGTTTCATTGTCAGGTCTATTTTGTAACAATACAAGCTCCTATCGACGAAGTGTCACTTTTTCCAGGACGGATTCCTTACTGGAAAATTGAGCCTTGTAGGCAGAAAACACTCTTTTATCTTGCCGTCAAAAATCCTTTATATTACTGAATCTAATTCATTAGATTATTTTGAGGAATAAACTCATATTACGAGGTATAAAATAAATATAATACCTTTAGTTTCGAGTGTTTTCTTATGACCGCGCTCAGATTGCAACACATCTCGTACTTATTATTTAAGCCAACATGTCATGTGGTCTGTTGAATGGGCTGACTTATATACACGTGTTTCGACCTTGACGCTCTCATCAGTTTGGGCGATACTCTTCGTCTTTAGCCATTTATCTCGGGGCGCCCAGTCCCCTATACTAAGAATAGACGACGACGAACATTCTACACTGTATGTCAAGTGAAACTTCACCGAACACACGGTGTTGTACACTCGATTGCACTTGGCTGGTATCGTCATTATATCATGCCTTTTGTTGCCAATGTTTTCTTGAGACTACACTCAAATTTCAACATATCTCGCAATAATTATTTGATTTGAGAGACAGTGTAAAATGTTTGTAGTCGCCTATTCTTAGTATAGGGGACTGAGCGCCTGAGAGGATTGGCTAAAGACCATGGGTCTATCACTGATGGCACTGCGAAAAATAATCGTTTTTCCAAATAATAATGAAGAGATCTATTGAAATTTGAGCATGGTTAGGAAAACACTCGAGATAAAGGTATAATATTATGAAAATACCAGGCAAAGAGCAATCTCATGTACGACACTGTAAGCTCGATGAGCACTTCACTTGACTTACAATGTAAAACGTTCGTCTTCGATATCTCTTAGTGTGAGAACTGGAGCAATCACAGAGGATTGGCTAAAAAAGACTAAAAGACGAAGGGTTCTGCCCGACTGACGAGACTGTAAGGTCGAGACACGTTTATCGGGCTGTACAGTAGCCCATTTAACAGACCACATAAGAAGTTGGCCTAAATAACAATTATGAGATATATGAAATAAATACTTTATTTGGCTAACGCTGCGTTACACAGGAACGGTCTTTTCAGGATATAAGTACAGCGTTGAAATCAGAAACGATTACGCTATCGAATGATCACTAGTAGTCCGAAGAAAGAGCTCCGATCGGTGGGAAATCTGTGCGTTGGAACACAAGAAATTTCCTTCTGTAACCACGTCGAATTTTTGGAAACCGGCCACGTGGGGATGTATTCTGATGTCTCAGCTTTCGCATGGTTATTAACCCTCCTATGAAAGGTCTACGTCCAGCGAACAAGGTCGGTTTACTTTAACCCTTAGTGTGGGGACTGGAGCTTCCACAGAGATTAGCTAAAGGCGAGAAAGGGTAACTGCTCGACTGTCGAAATCGCAAGATCGAAACGCGTGTATCGGGCTCTATAAGTCAGCCCTGTTTGACAGACCACTGACATGCGTGGCTCAAAAATGATTGCAAGGCATTTGACACCTTTTTTGATCCTGTGCGGATCCCAGTTCTTCTAACATCAACTCGTTTTTCGTCTTCTTTTTGAATGGCTTAGAATACTGTTCGAGGGATTGTCTTTGCAATTTCGAGGATAACCTTACTGTGGCGCTCCATAGGGCCTTGTTGTTGAATGCCAGAAAAGGTTGGGGAGGAAAGGGGGCAGGGTGAAACTCGGCTCCACGCGCACCGCAACCAACATCACAACCACTCGGCCATGGCGCCCCCTTTGATATCTACTCATCTCAAAAAGCACTTCAATTACGAAAGAGTATCTTTCCGGCAACAAATCATAACCTACTTATATTATCATTTGGCAATAAGTATATTAAATCTCAGACATTGACTCAATTTTTTCATCTAACAGTATTGACTGATTTACAAAGTATTCTACCCGAGGCGGGAGTTGAACCCGCGTCCGCCGTACCAGAATCGCGTGCTACCGCTACACCACCGAAGCCACCGCTTCTACTACCACTCTTCCGTCGATATATCCTATTGCAACTGCTAGCAACGAACTTTCAATGGAATTTCGTCGCTTAAGCACATGTCGACATTAAATTCAATCGAGCTGGCAGCTATTCAAAATGTCTAATCTGTTGCTATTCTTTATTTCTATTGCTTTTTAGCAATGTTATCATTCTGTAGAGATCATCTAAGAGCGTAGGGAGACTTGCAAAAATTCGACCTCTGCCGGGAGTCGAACCCGGGCCTCACCCACACTCCGGAGCGCCGCTGATACAGTTGAAATGCGAGTTCAAATCCCGTCTGGGCCCGAGAGTTTTGCATATCACTCAGCATCACTGAATGCATGGCGATGACGTCATAACGCTGTTGCAAAAGCGATAAAATGTAAGAAGTACCCTTGTGGTTTACATTAGCTTATGACTCTCATCGGTTAATGCGCTCTAGTCGATATGGTGGTCCTGCAACGAACACCCTGATTATCATGTAACCGTTGCGGTATTAGATCGGATGATGAGCTTCTAATTTTCTAGTGAATGTCGTCGCGTTGTTTCATGTTCGTTTATATCCAGTGTGGTTGTATTATTTAAAGAGAGCGTGTGTGGCGCAGTGGTTAGAGGTGACCTGCGCCACACACGTGGTCGACCTATCGATGGTCGATGGTTCGATCCCGACCTCAAGGCTCACCAAGTCTTCTGTCCTTTCGTGGTTGGTGATTAATGCCAGACTTGTCTGGGAGAATAGCAGCACTCACTCGGTACATCGATAGGCCACCGCGAGTCATTGCAAAGGCTAAATGTGCGTTCAGTCACCACAAACGATACCTGGACAAGTCGGATGTATGGGCGCTTTCCTCAGGGATTGATCAATACCGAGAGCTTTTTTTATTTTTTATTGTCGTCAGAGAAGTGAGCTTGAGAGGAAAATGATCGATCAATCGATCTATTTTCTTCCCACGGTCGATTATTGATTAGTTTTGGCATTTAGCAATCGCGTACTTGGTCAGCGAGCGAATCAGGGAGGGTTCTTACCAAACCCCCTGACCGCTCAGCAGAAACCACTGAATTGAGTTTCCCTTCTAATTTAGCTCTACTTTCTGTCCATCGATTGCCGTCAGTGGAAATGTTGTGGTTGAGTTCCGTTGTGTCATCAATTTCGCTTGATGTTTTTTTTTCTCGTTATTTGTTTATCCCTTCGTCTTGTTTGTGTTTACTGTTTGTTTTTTTTTGTTTATCAGATCCTTTCTGATTAGGAGGGGGCAGATGAAAATTAGACCCTCACTTGCTAAAAAGGAATTTTTCACAGGAGTGTTAGTAATCGTTCGAAAGTTGAGACTTGAGGCTACAGCCCCACGTCGCCGGATCTTCAAACACCCTTTTATAACATTGTGATCTCCTCACGAAACTAGCGCAAATTTCTCGCCAAACAGAGCTCTTTCTTTGGACTGTTAGTAATCGTAAGATAGCCTAGTGTTTCCTGATTCCAACGCTATACTTACATCCTGAAAAGGCCGTTTCTCTGCCAACGCAGCAGGTAAAACAATATTGAATTCAATATGTGAGAATTAACGATCTAAAGCCGGTTCACGTGGCAGTGGGTGTGGCGGTCACGTGACTGCTGACGCGATACCCCTCTAAGCGTTCATAGGACCGTTCACTGGCCACTGCAGCCAGCTCCCCCACATGATTCGCGCCTGACGTCGTTGCTCCCACATGGGAGTTCGAATTATTACAAGTTGAGCTGCGGCTTATTTTACTTGCTGCGTTTTGGTGAAACAGCCTTTTCAAGCTGTAAGCACAGCGTTGGAATTGGAAACGATCACGCAATCGAATGACTACTAATAATGCAAAGAAAGAGCTCTGTCCGGTGAGAAACATGCTTGTGCGAAGGCAAGAAATCTCCTCTTGCAGCAACGTCAAAAGAAGTCTTTTTCGAAACTCGACGGCGTGGGGCTGTAGCCTGAAGTCTCAGCTTTTGAACGGTTACTAACACTCCTGTGAAGAGTTCCTCTCCTGCGAATGAGATGAGTGTTTTGTTCGTCCCCTCCTAATGAGAAAGAACCGCTTATGACTTCCCTACATGGTGGTCTCCTACCACTCTTGGGCATTCAATACCGACGCCCCATGGATCGCCACAATCAGGCTATCCTCGAGGTTGCTAGGAGATGTGCCAATATTCTACGATTTTCAAGAAGAAGATGAAAAACGAACCGAGTGCTAGAAGTATTGGGATCCGCACAGTGAAAAAGGAAGAAGCACCGTAAAGACGGATCAATAAAGTCCATAAAAAAATAAATAAAGGTTTATATGGTTAGCGACCTGTAATTGCTTCTCCATCATGTGATGAGGGGTGTTAAGGAACTCAACACTTTCGGGACCAACAATGGAACCAATCTTCTGTGTCTCTAACCTCGGCATGCGATTTTTAGACGCAGTACGCGGGGAGTGAGAAACGCAGGAGGTTGGGTCCATGGTCGCGAATTGGTTAATCTACAAGATGTGGCCCCGGAGCGTGATTGCGGAGCCCCTCGTTACTAACCGCATGCTGATGATATGTGAAGCGCTGGCCTGGGAGAAGATGGATCTCCTCACCGAAATAGGACTTGCCGTTAGTATCAAGCGCATAAGCAAACCTCGGTGATATATGGAACAAATCGAGTCTCGTTGGGTGATATTTTGAGTATTTGTCTTTCCGGTGGTACTTTTTCGCTGTCCGTTTTGCCGCTTCGCTTCGTCGTGTTCTTATGCATTGGTCACCATCAATCACATCATAGTGTTTCCAGGTATGGCCCAACTTACAGCACGTACAGTTCTATCGAGTCTTTCAAAACGGGCCTCTTTTCATACCGCTCTCGTCTCTTCTCATCGTGGCCTGGCCACCGAGGCATCACCTGAAGACTATGGTTACTATCCAGATCCTCTTGAACACGCCACAGGTCGTGAGAAGAAGATGCTTCTGGCTCGCCTTGCCGGAGATGATGTAAGTTTTTTCCTTTTCTTTTTTGCCGCATGAAATCGTCCAACATTGTCGATTCATGCGGTGTTTGTGATATACGGACCTTTTCTGGCCATTATCAAGTAGAAAGCTTACCACTCGTCGAGCAACATTTTATTGGAGTTACTGCTTAGGAACTCAAAATCTCAATGGTAGTCTTATGAGGGAGCGCCCTGGTCGAATGGTTGTGAAGTTAGTCACAGCACTCGTACCCCCCAACTCTCTTCGGCAGTCAACAGCGAACGCCTTATGGAACCCCAAAGCCAGGCTGTTCTTAAGGTTGCAAGGAGACTCGCTCAACCAGTACTCTACGGCGTTCAAGAAGGCGATTAAGCGAATTGAATGCTAGAAGCTGGGATCTGCACAGTGAGAGAAACACTGTGAAGGCGGATCAATAAAGTGACTAAAAGAACTTCAAAATATGATTCATTTCGACGTTTCAGTAGAAGAGTTCCATTAGGTAATTGGGTTAGAAGAAATTCTCCTAGCATTAGAAAGTTTTAACACTTCTTCAAGTCATAATCAATTCTTAAGATTCCCTATTGTTTTTATCGCTTTTTTGCAAGGCAAGGCACGTTGATCAACAAGGTTCAAGAAGGCGATTAATAGGTTGAGGATAATGTTCCGGAATTTGCTCATGAAAACTTTTTTTATGCATCAATTGTTCGAACAAAAGACAATTTAATGGTCAGTGAGTCAATAATCGATAGTCAATAGTTAATAGTCAATAATTTAATAGTCCTTGAAGTGATCGTAGACAGCTGTCTTTCCAACAGTTCCTTCGCGCCCCATGCCTCATGGATTCGACGAACAGTGTCAGCGGCACTTGTGCCCACTTTGTACTCGTGAAGCATCAACAGTCGTTTCTGTTCGCGGTTCAGTTCCATCTTGCGGCAGCATAGAACAGTTATATATCAATCAATGCGCAAGAAAACAAACTTTCAAACCATGTGAAAATCGCATATAAAACATGCGAACATGTTAAAGTTATGGGCAAATTCCGGAAACTTTCCCCTCAACCTATTAAACGAATTGAATGCTAGAAGTACTGAGATCCGCATAGTGAAAAAAAATGTGGGCGGATCAATAAAATGTTTGAAAAATTGTTATATGAGAAACGGGTACATTATGTACTAAACATCTACAGAAATCCCTTATTAAGTCATGTATTCCAGCGCTACGAGCCAAAAGTCTACTACCGTGCCGAATCGTCTACAAAGGAGAGACCTAACTTGGTGCCTTCACACTTTCCTGATAGAATCGTCGGTTGCTTGTGTAAGTATAACTATCGTTGCAGAGATGAAATGAGACGTTTATCACCAGCACGAGCTAGTATTCGTGAAGGTTAAGGGTACTTTTCCGTTTGCTAGCACGAATTTTTAAGCCTACCTATCACCTCGATAGGTAAGAAGTTTCTTAAAGTGTTAGTAATCATTCGAAAGCTCTAATCTCGAGCTAATGCGGTGCGTAACCGGTTTTTGGAAGGGCCCTTATATAACGCTGAAGAATTCAAAATAAAATCTTGTTCCCCACGCGCAATTTCTCGCAGTGCAGAGCTCTTTGTTTAGACTATTAGTAATCAGTTGATGACGTAAAATCTACCGATCCCAATGCTGCGTATATATTCCTGGAAAGACTGTTTCTCTGCAACGCAGCAGGGAAAATAAGATTGATTGCATGAACAAGCAGGTGTTCTTAGGCTAATTCACGGGCGGTGTGGTGGGGACAAGGGCGGGTCGGCTCGAACAGCGATTGATGGCGCCTAATTGGAATGCATTTGTTTAGAAATTGTTTCTCCATTTTTAAGAGACTCGGGATCAAACACATAACTCTGATGGTATCAGATTTCCTCTGCACGTTCATGTACTTTTCGTGCTTTCAGCAAAGTAGTAGTTGAATTGCGCGGCCAATGTGAAACATAACTTTATTATAATTTTTCAGCTTCGTAAAAGGTTCCTATAAGAAAACCGGCCACGCACAGCGCTGTCTTGAGATATAAGC